CGTACTAGTTTTAGCATGGCGCGATAAGCTTGCACCATATGCTGTTGAATTCTTGATCCAATCCTCCAGCGCTTTCGCCTGGATTTGCTACGGCATCACTAAGGAGATGCTGAGAGCCATGTTGGTTTGTTGATTACTAGTGAACATTCAGCGCTGTGCGGGGAAGGAGGGGGGTTCTTTACCTAGGATGGCCCACCATGGGGAACGCGGATCCCTAGGAAGTGCCACAGACAACACGACTGTGACCCTTCATTAATCAGACCTCAAACCAGCCGACCCTCTCTCTGATATCCATAGGGTGGAGAAGAAGTGCGGCACCCTGTTACAACCCTCGGTGTAGCGCTGGTCACAAAGCTGAGTGTTGGATTAATCTATACGGCACCTACCAAACGCGAGGGTTACACGTGGTATGCACCCCAGACGAGTCTGGCAAAAGACGGCTTGAAGAACAAATGCCAAACTTCCTTGACTCCAAACCAAATACACACTAATAACATTACACATTACGTTTTGGTCTCATAGTTGATGACGAGGGCCATCTGCTCATACCGCGCGTCTCTTAATCATGACGTGCATGATGCTTTTCTATTATGTCCTTGGTTTCTTGTAATTTGTCGTCAATAGGAATTGCAAGCACTTTCTACGCAGAAGAGCTAGAACAGAATGTTCAAGTTGTACGCAATCTCCCTGCCGAATTAGATTTCGTCAGACCAAATTCATTCAGCCGAGAACTTTGAATTGCGGCGGGAATGGAACATTGCAATGTCCGCAACAGAGCTATCCTTGCCGACTTAGGAATTTCTCCTTTCAGACCCAAACCCACCTTTCAACTATTCAACCAATCAATGTGTCCCATGCAGAAAAGTGAGGACAGAACACTGCACGCAATAAAGCTCTTCTTTCCAGGCTGAAAATTGCTCTCCCCTCAAAGCCAAATGCTAACCAAAGGAGAACTGAACAAAAAGTGGTATTCGTGTGATTTGTCGCCAATGTACAGATTTATCAACATAAGCACGTTAGTGACATGCTTATGTTGTTTCCTCGGTATTGATTAACCACGAAAGAGCCATTCTCAAATATGATTCGTGTCATCTCATACACATAGACGGACGTTTCCTATCTCCTTGAGTCGTGGCAGGTGGTGCAGTGTTCCCCAAGACAGCCTACATATATACATAGTACTGTCTGATTGCAGTCTAGCAGCTGCTATGGCCGTTCACGATTCCTGCCAACGAAAATACAACACAAATCAACTGCACTACATGACCATGACATGGCAGTGGCAGTTGGACAAGAAGAACGACCTTGACGGTGGGCCTGCAGAGTGACGCGTGATGCTGGAATGCGAGAAGTACGGCTAGTTAGCACCGATAATTCGGGTGGATGGCGCATCCCCAAGACAGCGTATACAGCCTAACCGAGATGTAGTAGCAAAGTCATTTGATTCTGATTAAGCAGATTGCAAAGCATGTCAGGCATGACCGACCATGTGGCAGTGAGGAACGCGATTTAGACAGCGGGCGCGGCATCCCGGTCGAATCGCTTCTCTCAGAATACACACGCTCACCAAATACTGTAGAATGTAGCTGGGCTGGTACTGGGTATTTTACGCGGGATGTGCGAGTGCTAACTCATCCAGATGTTTGAGGGCAGAAAGGGGGATTAATAGGAACCAGGTTTTTGAGACCGCTATGAGCACCGGGAGTTTGAATTGGTGCTCCTATGGGATGATGCGCATTGTATTCGCGCCTGCTGCTTGTACATGTGATCTCGGTTGATCAGAGACTTCTAAATCCATGACACCCGCTGCAAATCTGAATGAGACGCCAAGTTCCAAAAATTACACGGGCGAAGTGTTTATATACACGATCAGCGCTTCAATGTCGGCTATCAAACCACGAGGCCTGCTGGTTATGTGCCTAGGTTTGCAGACATCCTATAGTCCAATGCCAAAGTTAAGTAGGTGCAGTCGCCATATAGAGTTCAGAGAGAGAAAGTATTGTGAGTTTCTTGTCACTTAGGAATGGTAGCAGGTGACCTACAACTCAGCTTGAGCACCAAGTGTTCATGGCGATTGATCCCCTGTCAATCTTCTGGTGCACGAATGGGAAAGGGGCATGACATCGGCAATATGTGTCGGAAGGTGCGGTCATAGGAAGGCGAAGACGAGGTAAAGTATGCACACGTACCTTGTTTGCCTATTCAGCCTGTGAAAGCACATTCAATGTCAATGACCGTATCGCACATGGTCTACACCTGTGACATGTACATAAGCTCTCAGCACCTCGAAGAGAGTGCCTGCGGGAGGTCTTGGTGAGCACGCTTCTTGACACAAATGGATAGATACTGACGGTACGCCACCTCATAATTCCATCTCTTTACACAGCTGATTCTGCTTGTTGACATACTCGGGCGTGTTAAGCTATTCCGCAAACACGAGGATGACGGATGGACTATGCATCCGATTGAGGCCGCGGCATGCCGCCTAGACGAATTAAGCGAAGACTTGCCGAAAAGTTCTTGACTCTGGAAAAAAAACAGGATTCTAGTATCTAAACATACAGCAGCTGTCGTGAGCGAGTGAATTACCTTTCTCCTAAGTTCTTCCGGAAGGTTCAAAGGTTGAGGTAAAAAATTTAGAACCACTCGCTTGACAAGCGAATGGATCATTGCGAAAGTTTCCCGCAGAATGCCGCAGCGAGCAACACGCGAATATCGTCACGACGCCGTGGGTTTGAACAGGCTTCTCGTGAGTGATGATGTTTCATTGCGCTTCGGTTGACAAGAGCTGACGAGAAAGACTAATTAAACTCACAGGCGTTGTACAAGACACCCTAGCCGCGATCCCAGCGAGCTCGCATACACCATACACGGTCTTCGTGTCTGGAGATCGCCGAGCGACAACTGCCGCGTCGCATGGCAGGCATGACCTCAGCCCTCTGCGCTACTGGTCCAGTGACGCCTCTCAAGATCTGCCTTGCCGACCAACAGCATCTCACACTGCTCGGATCCAAAAACGTGGACTCTCCGGGCTCTGTTTTTGCTCTCTCCGAGCCAGCAGTAACTGACGAAACAAGTAGTGTGGCATCAGCTCGTCACAGTAACGAGACATTTCAACGAGTAAACCAAGCGCCCAGATCCCCGGAGCATATTGAACCGTGTGGGGCAACCATTGACCAACCCCAAGGTCAGCGTACCATATTACGCGTCGGCTAAAGTTCGCGTAGAGTCGAAGACAGCACTGTGGGAGGCAAGACCCATGAAAACGCAAACGGCCGAGAGATGGCCTCTGCCAGCTCGCCTGCTTATTGCGGAGATATCTGCCATGAAGACGTAGCGTTTCACATGGATAGAGCACAGCATAATGAAGATGAAATCGCTGACGAGATTGAGACCTGAAATACGGCTTGAGATTCGTGCACCATTCTGGAGCAAATTCCCACCAAGGCTCCACTACGATCATCGCATCGATTGTTGTACAGTCGTGGTGCCAACGTAGTGGGCGCATTTCAGCGGGTTGCAACAAAGACAATCCTGTGTGGAAGGACTAGACTTGAGACATCGTGAAGCAAGTTCCTAATAAGGCTCCATTAAGATCAATGTGGATTGACTTTGCTGTGCAGTCATGGCGCCAGGGTATGGCCGTCTCTTAGCAGTTATCAGCTTCCAACAAAAAGAAACTCTATGTGTGTGAATGTTATCAGATTAAACGCTCACACAATGTCAAAATGGTACTTTCCGAGTGGTAACCTGTAACAACGTCCCCGTTTGGCAGAGCAAACTTTTAGACGCACTCAGTTAAAAGTTTGATCATTCATGCCCGTACCAAATGTCATCATCGGCAGGTAGAAGACGTCAATTCTGAGGCAGATTGAAACCATGCTTCAAGGTGGCCAACTTCATCTGCTTTAGACCTGTGGCGCTTGTTGGAAACTGACTATGATTGCACTGCCGCGCTTCAAGGACCCTTGAGCTCGTCACGAGAACGAACTAGCCAGATCCAGCTGAGGTTGTTCACAGGCACTGGTGTCCGTTTCGCACAGGATCCGGAAATTAAAGCGTAAGAAGAAAGACAAAGGGGCTTCTTGATTTATCAGATAAACATTGAACGCCCCAGGAGTCGGCAAAAAAACCGGCGTGGGGTATAATGCATAGCCGCATTGGCTGCAGTGTTATACTGCCCCTTCATATACGTGCTTCTCCATGAAATCACTGGCCTTGCGTGGTAACTTGACAACATTTGACCAAATGCGTGACATGTCACGAGCAACAACTGGCGGCAGCCTTGATATCTCAACGAGGCAACAAGTTTACACTGAGACCCTATGAGCAGCGGATTTGGCGATGGGACCCACATGTTAACAATCTAGCAAAGCGGTGAGAGCCCTGGCCAAGAATTCTCAGATGGGCTAGGACGAACAAAAGTTCCTGTGTAGAAGTCGATTTAGGGTTAATGACATCCATGTTGCAAAAATTATCGGCGCCACATCGATGAAAGTATTGACAAGACGTGTAACCGAGCGGGAATATTCTCTTGGCTGAGAATGCTGCAAGTTGGACATGCAGGTTAATTATAAGTCCCCCACGTGCAGAAGCAACTTCTCGCGCTTACATAATAATATGAAAGTTGGTTGCCTTGTCGCACGTTGTTCAAGTACTCAAGTTGGTACCGACGAACAGTGAGCTCATTCAAAGACTGCGATGCCCATCAAGCACCTGGAAAGTACGTTTTATCTTCCATCAAATGTCGGAGTAAAAGAGTTGCAGTTAAAATTGACGTGTAACCTAAAAACGAAACAGACTACCTCTCCGAGCGGAAGCACACGCAATCATTTGCTCTGTCTGTATTATCCGATTCCCGGCTAGGAATTGATGCATCTTACTACCTCAAAATATTGACGGACAATCCACCCTCGCGCGAACCTCTCCTCGCTGCGACTGGTGGCTTGCCCTTGGCGCTAACGACACGCATCGAGTCTGATTTGCGTACGTTGGAAAAATTACGAATAAAACCTGTGTTCGTTTTTCCTGGCCTTTTGCCGAGCAAGCGCTGGAAGCAATACCAACATCACGTGGAGCACAATGATGCATGTAGGGACCGGAGGGATGCTTGGGCAAAATACGAGGCTGGCCAGGAAGACTCTGCCGTAAAATTATTCGAGGGCAGAAGCGGACTCCAGCAGTGGGACTTATGGCGCATGGTCTTGAGGATATTCAGACATAGGAATGTGGAGTTTTTGGTTGCTCCATACGTCGCTTGGGCTCAAGTAGGCTGAAACCATCTTTTGGGGGATACTCCGCTGATGCGTTCTAAACAGTTGATTTACATGCAACGGCACCCAAAATCATATATTCATGCAATTTTTGGACCAACCGACACCCTACTCTATCCAGGAGTAGACAAATTAATCACTTCACTGGACCTCACCTCTGCGACACCATCTTTTTCATTCGTATCCAAACGCACTATCTTGGGTGACTTGGGTCTCAGTGAGGACCAGTTCCTTGATGTTGGCATCCTTGTTGGTTTCGAGCACTCGCCACCATTTCCACCAACTGTACATGAACAGGCGTTGAAGGCCACGGTTGACATGGTTAAATACTACAAGTCTGGCCATGCTGCCGTTTCCGCATTCGCGGAACATCCCGCTGTCAAGAGTATGCAGTATCCCGATCAATACGCGCGCACGCGCTCGATGATCAAATACTCTCTCATATTCTCGTCTGAGGGAAGTGTCACGCCGCTTCCTCTTGCGATCACCACACCGGCACACGGTCCTAATCATCCCCACCATCCGACAGCTGCAGACATTCCTTCAGATCTTCATGAAATATTCACGCACCGTCTTCCGGACGAAATCTATTTCTATCTCTCACGCGGACTCTTGGGGCCTCAAGCGCTGGTATGGCTGACCAGTGGTCAGATCGTTGAACCCCCACCGCTGGATAACGGTGAGACAACCGAGTACAAGCGGTTTGTCAAGGAGGTTATCACCGATGGCCAGACAGGGCCACGGGCCACTGCTCTCGCGCTCATTAGCAGTGTTTCCCATCAATTTTGGAATAACCGGAAAGTTGCGGGAAACTTTTGGTTTGAGAGCCCCGCACCTCACGGTCAGAAGTTTGTCCAACATAACTCACCACAAACCGTACAGCTTGCCGAACGCGTGGCGGGTTGGAACGTTAGCTATGCCATTGTGGAGGAGGAGCTTCGGCGACAGAACGTGAGTTTCCGAAGTCGCTTATCAGTCGAGTCACATCTGATGGTCTGGGCTGGTCCAGTCTTCCACCATCGATTTCGCACTTTGCCTCGGAGCGACAGCAACGGAGAAGCTTGCATCGCGTACCAAGGGAAAGACAAGCGTCCCGAATGGACAGCTGGACAAAAAGGATGAGGTGGTCGCTAACGTGGTATGGCGGTTCCTGGAACTCAGAGGGTAAGCGCCGTCTTGCCAGCTTAGCATTGTTGTGACACTGCGACTATAGATTCCTGCTCAACTCTCACACTCACTCGCCACTGGCGCGCGCTATGTACACAGCAATTAAACAAGCTCGTTTGAATGACAAATTCCAGGATCCTCTATATCTGTTTTTGGAGCTCGTAAGGGCTGGGGTAATGCATGGCCACCTATGGTCAGGCCGAGCATTCAGTGGGGGCCCAAGTTTCGGGACCGGTGAGCGGAATTCCTATACGAGTTTTTCTTTTGGATTGATAAAAGATTATCTCACGCAGATGATGAGAAATCTTGTATGCTGCTGGTCATGAGAGTGCTTAGCATCGTGCCTTTGAACTTCAAGGTGACTTTTCTATATCTAGCCGATCGCAGCAAACTTGATACTATTCTTAATTTAGTCACAACCTTGGTCGGCACCGTTATCACGTGAATTGCTGGTGTTTAACTCCTTTGTGCGTTCCCTGACTCGGGCGCTCCGAACGCTACTTGAGGTGACGACATTGAACATGTTACTACGTTCGGACGCGCGCCGAGCACGGGAAGACCTTCTGGACATTACTATCTCCCTGCCCTTCCAATCTGAGGTGAACACTGGATTTGGAGTGCTTGCGAAGGTGTACCTGGATGCCCTGACCCACCTGAATAATCAAACGCGAGTACTTGACCCTAATGCAGAAGGCGTTAGAGAGTCGAAGGCTATGGCCCTCGAGATATGTGAAGACACGTTTCCAGGAGTGAAGACTCCGAAACAAGAAGTGGAACGAGGATTCCGGTTCTGGGACATTGTAAGTGTCTTTGTTCCATTGTAGAATCACTGGTTGTGATATAGCTAACATGTGTTGTGGTTCACAGGCGCTGTCTGCCATGAGGCAACTTCACTCTGAGGGTGCTGTCCTTCGCGAGTTGATTGACCAGTTTGAAGCAGCAGAGGCGTGGCTTGCGCCGATGAGGCCATGAGATTATCGATCATGATAGGTAGTTGATTGAAAATATTTTTCGATCGCTCTGTGCAAGTGCCCTGTTGAGGTGTTGTGTAGTTTCGAATAGAAAATAGCCTATTGTGACAGCGCGATTTATTCGGAAGTGAGGAAGCGATCAATTACAATGGAACGCAAAGGCCGTTAGAAAGGGTACAAGGAGGGACGGAGGAGACGATGGGAAAAGTGCACCAAGGAATGGAACATAGGCATGGGAAGTAGAATGTCTTAAAAAGGAAATCGAGATACTTGGATCTCAGATATTCAATGATACCTAATCGGGAATACGCCAAGAAACAGAACGTCCAAAAATGGAAACAGGCCATCTCGCTGTTTATCGCCCGATCCCCAGGTTTCTGACTTCTCAGGGCTCTGCTTCGCTTTTTTTTTGAACAGCTGCCACAACAAATCTACATACAATCGAATATGCATGTCGCTCGCGTGGCGTCTCTCCCTTCAAATTTAAATAACGTCCACCTGAATCTCATCTTTCCACTTCACACTCCCAATGTTCGACCAATACTCCAGTCCTATCATGCTACACACCCAGTCATCTATTGGTGTCATGTTTGATCCTTACAAGGAAAAGGTCAACCCAGGTCATCTCTATGTCCGCGACGCCATTCAGATCATCCAGCTCGTAGAGGCTTCACCTCCCCCACGTCCAGACATCGAATCCAGCTCATATGGCTTCTCTTCTGGATCATCATATCCCTCTACATCAGACTCGGAAGACGAGGAGGATTGCTCATCATACTGCTCCTCCTTCGTCACCCCTTCCCAGGACAGAGAACATGTCGTTTGGACAGATGATACGTATGATATTCGCATGAAACGAGTACAGAACTGGAGAGATAATTCGATAAAAGCAATGAGCATCTCAGCTGGTGCTGTTCTCTTTCCTCATGGTTTTCTGCGCTCTTGACTAAAACATCAATAGAGCCTCGCTCGTTGTCATTGAAACGAAAGTTGAATCAGAATCAGACAGATGATGATCTTGTGAGTCTCCATTGCGATACACCTCACACTTTGTATTAAGCTCCCACTCAGCACACCACAAAAAGATCACGCTCTCGGGATCCTAACAGCGCATCCAGATTGCTCGGACATTCATGTACTGCCTGTGATACCCCCTTCTCATCAAGGCAAAGCCTCCGACAACATGGTCGCACTCCTCGTATATCTGAGGCATGTCGGATAGCGGTTGAATACAATTTCGAATGACCACCTACTCTTCTCCAATTCATCTTGGCTTATGACGATCATGACCCCAGCATTCGCATCGTTGTACGATAACCCACAATTATTTTTTTATTCATGGTATCGTACACACTCATTTACCCATATTGTGTACCACCAACGGATGAAGTTGAAGTGATGTTTGTTTCTGTACATTATTGATCACTACATACCTGACCTGTTGTTAATTATACGATATTTGCTCACTAGTACTTCGAATAAACAACTTCAATACTCTTTGTGCAATTGACGTGAAACTCAAGAGTCTGTTCTGCGGCGGAGCTAGCAAGCATGGGAATTAGCTGTGCAAGTCTAGTACGATGACCTTGTCTTGTCTTAGGCTGGGTATTCATTTTCGGTGCATCTTCCGCTGCCCCGGAGCATCACTATCACTCCTTGACCACTCCTGGCCACTCCCGCTCCCACGTCGAGTACGGACAGCTTTCGGTCTGTTGGGTGCAACCGTGTCTCCCCTTGTGATCAACTCCGGAGAGTGCCTGTGACATAGGCAAATATAGACGGTTTTTCTCTTCAAGATACGGGACCGACGTGGCAGTGGCCCACTTGCTGTCAGGCTGCACAGTTCAGCACAATCCCTGCAGGTTCCTGTATTGATCGGAGTCGATGCTACCCCGCAGTTTGACGCTGAACCGGTAATCCACCATCCGAGTCCGGAAGTCTTCCCAACTTGTCTTCCTCAAACTTCACTCCCTGAAATGTGGAGGAAGGCTTATATACATTGCCGTACATATCGTACTATTGTGACAACGACGTGCGGCAGTGGACCCTTCGAAGCTTCGTTCACATGCTTCAAGATGTCCTTCTCAGTCGCGTTAGGCAAGGCAACGGAGCAGAGCAGAGCTTGGAAGGCCTCTATGATCTCCGCACCTGATGCGAGGTACCCACGACGATCAAGGAGATTGTAATTGGATTTTCTCATCCTACTACTAGCCCACAGAACTGGATGGCTCATACGATACATTACTCAGGCGCGTAACCCCGCACTCTGCTGGCTGACCTTTCTGTCTCTAGCATATCTACTCTGGATCCATGCAATTGTCCGATCACAGATACTTTCCCGTGAAGCAATGGATTATCAAAGCGGCAAGGTACCTGTCTATCTCGCTGATTGGCCTAGACAATGGATCGTTCCGAAAGTATGATAATTCCCGTGTAGTGTGAGAAGTAACCTTTCTGGCTGCAGTGCACCGCTGTTGTGAGAATGGTTTCAACTTGGACCTTGGTAGCTCATTTGACCAGGTCATCATGAGCGCCTCGTTCTGGAATATCCCGGTTTACATGATAGCCGAATCCTCCACCAATTAGAGTGTTTGTTTCCAGGCTCACGTAAGGCAGTGAACCCTGCAGCTGGTAACTTGATCACGACTATCAGGAGAAGTCCACACTAGCAGATGGCCCTTTGACAGCAAAAGGCCGTCAATGTGGTATTGCGTGCGTCATGGCTTCTCCCGCGCTGTTAGAACTACTACCCTGCCTCGAACCAAGTCACGAGAGCGCTTTCAAAAGGCATTCCCATGACCTACCGAACTACGTGCAACGGCACGGCACTCACGTCAAGAACTACATTATTCTCCATTCAGCTCGAATCCGCCCTCGGGTTGCCGTTGCCCCTCGATGCGACCGTATTCCACAGGCGCTTACACGCTTTTAAGTCTAAATTGATTTCTCAAAGAAAACAAGAACATGTTCTCGAGAGAAAAACAGATCCGGGGTTTACCCTGGAACACTATGTTTAGCTCACTAATAAAAGAACCGCTTAGAGCTTGCAAATCTACTACGCGAGTTCATCATAATTTCGACGGGGTTCCATCCTATCGTGATGATCATGAGTGTGCTAAATTGTTTCGAGATGTACACATCGGTCCGAACATCGCAACATTTCAATGCAGGAACGTCTTACGGTGGGAAGACATGTGAGTTTCTCCTCTGCTTGTACATGTCTTCTTAGCTTTGCTAATTTTGTTGCACAAACTAAACTTGCCAGGGATGCTCCGAGGCCAATGATTGTGTACTCACCTTTAGCCACCGGTGCAGGTGTCTGTGCTGCATCTGTGGCGTGAAGACAAGGATGTCATCATTATCACTGCACAGTGCAGGAACAGACGACTGTGGGAACTCGAAGAGCTGTGAGCCGTCTTGTTAGCTCGTATGCTCTCTCAGCTTTTGCTAATTTTGTTACAAGAAGAAAGCTTTCTGTGAAGCGTTCCGAGGTCGTCGTGTACTCCATGATGGTCACTGGTCATACCTTGGTGCCCGTGGAGCATATCGTCATCATCAGCGTCATCACCATTAATAGGGCCGCCGTCAGGTGTTCCAACGCGGAACGAGCATCCTGAGCGTGAGTACTCGGACAGCTCGTAATATGACGTTCTACGCTAAGGAGATGATGCAATCCATGCTTCAAGGAACACCAACGAAACGTTACAAACGTAGCTTTTACTACTCGTGTGGACGTGGTGGTATCGACGATAGTGACTGGCTGCAGGCCTCGAGGCAGAAGCAGAGCTTCTCGCGCCTTTGTGTTACTTTGAAGCGGTGCGCATGCAATGCGCTCGGATCATCAACCGCGGTTGTCCGACCCTTTAGGTACCTTATTTCCATCCCTTATCGTAGGTTCCCCCCTTGTTCTGTGACTCGCCGTTGTGCAGCATGACCACTCTGTAAGATGGTTGCATAGGTACGTCTCGTATATTGCAAAATCGGGAAACAGGAAGCTCGTGATTTGTTGACGAGACCCCATTTCACTCCACCATACGGCCGTTCGGGCCTGCAGGTCGAGGCTACGTTGCAATGCGGCTTTCTCAAGCAATGCCTCGGCGCCTTGCACTTTCTAGGGTGCCTACTTATTCTTGGGTACGGTACCGCAGGCGAAGACAAGTAATTCGGGACGAAAACAAACGAGGAACGAGCATAAAAATGGATGTAGGACAACTCCGTCTAGTCTCACGCAGGCATTGCATTGTAATATTGCATGGGAGGATTTGGAGCCTGAGAGAGCGCCTATACCCTTGTAGAGAGTAGCTATATGATACATCGAGGTGATCGGCTACATAGATGACCACCACCCAGTGAAGAACAACGCAGAAACTTTATGTCTATTTCAAGAGCGTGGCCGCGTCTGGTACTAGACCAACCCTTCTAAAGGATGGTTCCCTCGGGATATGGTTCAGATCGGTGAAGCATATTCCTCAACGGGCTCTCCCGCCTCACGTGTACTGTAAGTGACTTCGTCTCATGCTGTTTGCATCATTGCGAAGGGTATGAATCTGTGATGGCAATGATAATGATCAGTGATACATATAAAGCTTCACCATTTCCATGCTACGGGATGTCGAGCCGAATATCAGTTCACACGACGCCTGGCTTTTTCCTCCGTTGATAATCGTCGTTCTTTCATTGCATATAACTGTGGGCGTGAGTGGGGAGCATGAAAGCCCTATATCAAACCTTTCCTGGCGTTTATTTTCATTCCACCCGTGCGCAGTTTCTTGTTATGTGCACATCGCGATCGTTTGAATATGAAAAAGCCATTAATCCGGGGGGCAATGCAGGGTTTCTCATTAGGCCGATAGCGTCCGTTCAAGTAGCCTATCATTGCCATTGCCATGACCCTGTGCGCCACCTAGAGAACATAGGGATATGATCGTCTGCAGTGTGTTCTTGTATCAGAGGAGGACCGGAACTTGGTTCCCGATCAGAACCAGAGACAATTTGGTTAAAATTTGTTCGGGCACAACCTCGGGGAAATGATTCACCCACGGTTTCTCGTATCGTCCCCATCTATGAAGCGCTTACAGGCGCCTGATGACGATCGGATCCTATAAATAAGTCAAACAGTTCGAGTGTCTTGGAGAAGTTTAGAACCTAGCATGTGTTACTTATTGTCTCTCTTTCCTCGGAACACAGTACACCATCTACGATGACCATGGCCTAGTCTCAAGAACGATCAGAAGTGAAGCTCGACAAGAACACCGGGAATCGCTCTTATCGATAATCGGTCCAACGCATCTAGAACCAGCTTGTGTTGATCAACTTATCACTAGAATCAAGTCCCATCATCTGGAAGCTTTCCGATCCCCTTTGGTAGGATGTCATGGGCTCTTTCGGGAGGTTTAAGATTGTTCAACGTGTGAAGGTTTGCTGCCAGCGGTATCCTCGATCCACAGTTGCCTGAAACAGACCCACTGTAGGTGGATTCTGACATTGCTACGAGGGCTTTGCTGCGCGACAGCGGACAGGGCGTCTATGTGATTTGTCTACTTGGCACTAGCGGTAGCCTGTTACGGCCTGCCGCATCAGAGAGCGTATTTACGAGGTGCTCCGAGCCGCCAAGCAAGCTGCTAGAATCCCCTTCAATACGTCGTTACTTAATATTAATGAAGGTACTTCACCTGGTTCATACCAAAATGCCGTCGGTACAGTAATACTAGACCAGCGGTTGACCAGCGGAGTATGAAGCCTAGCGGAGTGTACTTGCGCAAAAGGAAACTCCGCCACGTTTGCACTTTGCCGCTCAGGCGTGCCGACTTCGACATGTTATTGCACACACACTACCACAGCGACCATGCAATCGTTCAAGTTATCGTTCAAGGGGAATGTGTACCCCAGGCAGTCAGATAGCTCGACTCTACCCCTCAGCAATTCCGACACCAGGTCGTCTCTGTCACGATTTTCACTGACGAGGCGGTGTACTCGTCTTTTAATGGGATTAATCTTAGTCTGCTTATTTCTGTTCTTCTCGCGCACCAAGGCGACCGCGCCATTTCGGCTGCAAGAGCAGTCGCTGGCGGAAGAGCACTCGTTACCGCCATTGTACGAGGAATATCATGACTACGAACGACACTTGCCGCAGCATAACCTTTCATTGCCTTTCCCAGAAGGACGTGATGCGAAGTTCTTTTGGGCCGCCAACCATGTCACTAGTATGAATATCGGTTATGTTCGTATTCAAGCTAGGGCTGATAACTACCAGTTTCGGGATGGGGAAATGCCATGCAAGAGCTTGTGATGAATGCGGCGCTGTCTCATGTAACTAAAAGAACGTACGTCCATATTTCCACGACCTTGATCCACCCTCAATATTGCCTGCTAGTTTTGTGTTCGATAATTTCACATGGGAACGAGATGGTCCCGATTACTCGACGTTCAATGGCAAACTCATACCTTCGCGTATTCCATTGTCAGCTATCATCAGTGGTACGTGACCAATGTGCATCGTCTTCGCTCATGCCAAAGCCGTTCTCTTGTGTAGGTCCCATAATAGGGTCGTCGTTTCCCCCCGGGGATGCTGCCCCTCGTGCTGTCTCGCGGGAGTACTTCAAGAAAGTCTGCCCTAATCCCACCATCATCGACAGCTGGGTTGTGAACGAGCATCTTAGGCTGGACGATAACGTACCTGCTCTGGAAATATTTGAGAAGTGGGTGGAGAGATTGAATTCCATCGACGACCCATGCGTTGAGATAAGACAGGAATCATATCAATTGTTTGAGATTTGGTGAGTCACCTGGTTGCACTGCTGTCAGCTCTCACTGTTCTCAAACTTTCAATAGGTTGTTCGGTTCGAGACGCATACTTTCAATGTGGCCTATCCTATCCAAATCGCCTATTCTGACGGATTTTTCTTGGTCTCCGCTTATTTATCAGGCGTACGCGGAGAATGCTCATTTGTTTACACCGACTTCTTCCTCGTTTGGATTTTTATCCTCGTTCATACGCCCTTCCGGTCAGCAACAAACTCCTGCACCACTACACGACGTCCATCCTGTTGTCAAATCAAAGGAAATGGATACTATTCCTGGGTTACTGGCTCTTCATATTCGCCGAGGCGACTTCGCGGGTCATTGTTCACATCTTGCTAACTGGTCCTCAAATTGGAATGGGTTCAACCAGTTCTCTGCCCTCCCCGATAAGTTCAGAGTTCCTACGGATGGTGGCTGGGGCGTGACCACGGAGGCAAATACGAACATGTACTTCAAAGCGTGTTTCCCAACGATTGAGCAGATTGTGGAGAAAGTGCAGAACGTGCTTGCTGACCAAAGGCGTCTATATGGATCTGTAAAGGAGTTGAAGAGCATATATGTTATGACGAATGGAGACGTGGAGTGGCTGCAACAGCTTAGGGAGGCCCTCATGCGGGTGAAGAAATGGGATGCTGTTGTGACCAGCAGAGATATGAAGTTGAGCTGGGAGGCAAAGCCTGTTGCACAAGCCGTGGACATGCTGATCGGTCAGCGTGCTCAGGTGTTGATAGGTAACGGGGTACGTTGCGAGTCACTTTCCTTGGCCCATCAGACTGACTGGTGGTGCAGTTTTCCAGCCTAACGTCCAACATCGTGATGTTACGCATGTTGATGGACATTCCCTCGGAAGATACTCGGTTCTGGTGAGAACGGTTTCCCGTGTATTGGGGTGACGTTGCGCAGCCCCTTAAGTCACTGACGACTTCTCCCAACCTTTGGGATCACTTCGCGAATGTCCTGGAGTTGATAAACATGGGCTATGGCATCTATTTGCCTGGCCTCCCCACGTTCGCTATCAACCCTTTCACTGCAGCACGTTCATTTTGTATCATTGCTCAGTTATACCCCTTGATATATACCCTCGATAATTATTTTCGGAAACGCGTATTTCTGGTGAACCAGTCAGGCTTGGGGCATTAGGTGCTCACAAGTTGCGGACCTTAGTTTCACACAGCGGGAAAACCTTTCCTTTTTTGCACGCGTGTCTAGACTGTTCTCGCCCTTGTGTTCAGTCTAGACTTACTGGGCAGAATGAAATATAAGGGGCAATCGGAGAAAGGGGCGACTACGTACGGTAGCCAAAGTGACATTGCATTTAAGGAGAAAGAGTAGTGAAATTCGGAATGTGAATGATCCGGCAGGTCGCCGCGATTAAAGTCAGGACAACGAATTTATTTCATTAGAAATTAGGCACAATAACCAAATTGCCATTCGACGATCAGGAGAAAAACAATTTAAAAGTATCGGGGGAGGCACTGTCACGCACTGCCACACCTGGAGACTAGCTAGTTACTAGGCGTGTCTGGTCCTCTCAGGCTACTGGGCGTGGTGCCAGTTTCTCAAGCCCATTCATAGGCACCCCGGAATGTTCAAGTTACATACCATCACCAGTGGGACCATCCCAGTGAATCATGGCCTTGATCTATGTACGTCCAGCCTCTTCACAGCTCGCAGGGAATCTAACTGGATGTTTATAGGGATCGGTGACAAGGAAATGCCGACTTATCGAGTGCGCCACCAGAAATCGATAGATTAACGGTTTGGATACGTGCGATAGATACTCGACAGATTCCAGAACTATGGGCAACGACACTTTGGAAACGGGTTCTATGTTGTTATCTATTCGGAAGGCACTCGTCTGAGAGACGCAGTACTTTGGCCAACTGGACATCGAGCTCAAGCCCAAGGGCGCCGGGCCCGCAATAGACACTAAGCCAATCGGTCGCCATTGTCGCTGTAATTTCGGGATGGGCGTTCACACTAGCGGTCTCACAGGGCTGCAGTTTGAAAGCCGAGCATCATGAGGCTCAGAGAGTTGCTGCAAGCCTCTTTGACAGCCCTTGTTCCGTATAAGATCCGCGTGCTTTTTCGTTCGTGTGTCCGACCGGAGCATATCTTATGACGAAATGGGCATCTGGATGTAAATGAACTGTCTTGTATGTGCCTCTAATTTTAGACGATGTCCCTAGCTCAATTAACGGAACATCCCAGCGAAGAATTAACTTGGCCTGGGTAATTTTTATAGTTGGGAGCAGGTGAGCTGTGCCGCCACTGATATTGAACTTGTCTAATTTAGTTCTAGAACAAGTGGGTGAGATAGTGACGATTGCCAAGAGCAGTAGGTAGATCAGATCAGATCAACGGTGTACTAAGGGCTTCACAATTCCCTGGAGGGCACCTCAGGTCTGGATCAGTTGTTCTTCCGGGATCTCATGCGCCTCTCAGTCTCGTCCTCCCTGTTAAGACCGTTCCGTTGTCTACGGAAACGATCCCATGGGTCTGGCCGCCTGGCATACGCTACATTACCTTGATATTTTGCACGTTCCTCTGACGCTGTCTCTTGTTAGTCGTGGTCTGCTTGCAGGTACAAGTATTGCATCTCCTACGCCAGGCAGCCGTTGGGGTGTAGAAATCGTTGTGAGCGAGTCAAGTACAAAAACTGGGAGATCGCCTTCCAGTCATCGCGAGAGTCATTGGTAAGCACTGCATATACCTGTATTTCACCACTTATTGTGTCTGTACAGGTTAAGCACAAAATGTCCGAATGCGAAGCGGAATTTCGTTAACCACAGCCCCATGGCGCAATAATGATTAGTCTCAGAGATTAATATTGGTGGGTAAACCGTATTCCTGATCTCGTTAGAGCCTCCGTTCATATATTGAAAGAGGTCTTTTACCTGACGAAATGGACAAACTACAAAGACAGGGCACCTCCGGATGATAGATAGAAGGCACTCGTGGCTACCATTGCTGATAGTGAGTGATAACAGATATTACTATCCCTGATGTGGTCACAGATGAATTACTACCAGATTATATGAAAACACGAAAGCCTGTCACTCCTGTGTTTTTGATGGACCGAATCTAGTTAATTATGCTTCGCTCTTCAGGGCTTTGATGTCGTGAGTTTGATACTGACCAGGTTGCAGAAGTCGAAGCTGTGAATCTGTGCGACTAAACTTTCAAAGGGAGATGTAGACCCACGCAATATTGATGCCACAAAAGGATAAGACACTCGCTTTTGGATGATTACTATCAAACCATTGATTCTGATTAATATACCGATGCTATCATAGGCATTCTGGAATCAGACAATTATGAAGCACCTTAGGTCATAACCATCGCACATGAAGACTCCCGACCCGTAATAAGCAAGAGGGCCGTGAGAATGCGTGAGTGTGGAAGACCAAGAAAGGGAGCCATGTAACCCCTGAGACGACGGTGCCGATTGATGATTAACTGCCGCTGATTATAAATTCGAGGCTAGGAGCTCGCTTTTACTCAACATTTCCTTCTCTCTCAATCTCATCGTTCAAAGTGTCTCCAACCCTTCGAACTACAGCCTTGCTCCAGAACGCTGCAGCCCCAACCAAACTATTGTTGCTGAAAACCTTTGCGGCTCCATATACTGCACGAAAGATGTCTTCCAGCAGATCCATCGAGATAATTCCCCGAAGGAACATTGACCGAGCCCATGCAGATCACGGTTGGCTCAAAACTTTCCATACATTTTCGTTCGCAAAGTATGGGCCTTTTACCTTGATCCTCATTGCATACTCATGTAGCCACTTTGCAGTTACCATGACCCGAAAAACGAGTCTTTTGGTTCTCTCCGCGTCTTGAACGAGGACCGCGTAGCGCCTCGCACCGGCTTTGGCACCCACAGCCATCAAGAGTATGAGATTTTTTCTTATGTGATTAGTGGTGCGCTAGAGCAGTGAGCATCCCTTCCGGTTATTATTTGTAGAAGAATGTTTGACTGACTCGTCATCGTGCTACAGTCAAGATTCTATGGGCAACACTGAGATACTAACTCGTGGTGCCGTTCAGATGACCTCCACTGGAACCGGCATCTCTCACTCTGAGAAAGCCCATGGCTCTGAAGAGGTGCATTTCTGTCAGATATGGGCATCTCCCCGTCCCGGGGAAGGCAAAGGCAAACCCGCCTATTTCACCAGGTAAGACATATCTCTGACGATTTTGAACACACCTCAATAACCGTTTGGTTCCTGCAGACATTTTACCGACCAAGACAAGCGAAACCAATTCAGGCTCATCGTTGCGCCTTCTAATTCGTCTGAAGCCTCGCTTGAGAGGGAGGCTGCAGGCCCCGCTCCAATTCGCTCGCAGCTTCGCGCGTATGCGTCGCTCGTGGATCCTGGTGTATCACTTGTGCATGCATTCCACCCAAGCCGCAATCCCTGAGGGGCGTAAAGCGTACATTCACGTCGTTCAAAAATCCGGATACAACCCTGGTAACGCCAAGGGCGTCAGATTGCGCGTTGGTGCTCAAATCGAGGGTCCAATAATCGAGCTTAGAGAAGGAGATGGTTCATATATGTTTGTGGGAAAGGATGCTGAACTGAAGGTTGAGAATGCAGGAGAAGATGCGGTCGAGTTTTTATTATTTGACATGGAGTGAAAGCAACTATAAACGCTTATTCTACGTGATTCGACTGTAAATCCACCTTATTATCGATGGTCTGTGTGATTTGAGGCAGAACTTAAAACATGCGCCTATTACCCGCAGGGGCCACTAGCACAATACGCTGTAGCTGATATACAGCTAGCATGCTCAGCTATATATGCTAACCTGTACACATTGCGCGTTGTACTAATGTCAGACACGGAGTCCTTGCTTTGCTTCTAGCGAGGCTCTCTGACGGAATGGATGAGAGAGGAGAAGAATATCAAACCCAGCTAGTCGACAACTGCGAGTGCCGGTATAACCGGGACCATCGCAGGATGCAACTTACTAGCTATCTGTGGCAGGAGCTCTAGTCTTGTATGTGAAGACGGCGAGTCCAAGTGACAAGTAGTGCATGGACGTCCTAGCTCTTATCGAACGCGATATCTCCCATCGCGCACCTACTAGATCGTTTTGAATTTATCTGTTTGGTGCGATGGAGTACGCAAGCTCTAACACCTAGGATTACCATATGTGGGTGCTTCTGCAGGACCACGAATACCACCAATGTAGATAAGAAATAATATGATGTGCCACGTATAAGCAGATAACGCACGAAGACCGAGTTCACCGCCCACTCCACCAGTAAGCATCATTGCTTTCCTCATAATGGAGCAAATCCTGTCGGTTTTGTATTTGAGCACCGGGAAGCCCCAACTGTTCGATGAGATGCGATGCGAAACTGTGGAGACAAGAGCCGGACCTATGGATGCAATGAAGCAAAGAGCCTCGTGTCCCGGGAATCTATGGTAACGAGTAGTGAAATACGCGATACGCACCTCTGCGACTTAGATCAAGAACGCAGGAATTCCCCAGTGTGGGGTTCAGGAAGATACGCATTGGAAAAGGCGGAGTACAAACAGAGATAAGCCGACGGGACACGGAGATAAGCACCACGCAGAGAAAGTGGAGACCGCCGAGCGGACACTGACGGCGAGCAATGGAAGTGTGGTGGGGGTGGAGCTGGGGCACGCACACGAGAATCACGGGAATTGCTTCCGATATGGCTCATTGTTTGCAGTTTGAGATCCGGACTACGCTGGCAGTCCGAGTCAGCTGGGTAGTTTTGTATACAAATGTCTTCTTGACACTGAGATACGCGCGGCGGAATGGCCGCATCGGTGCAAAATAGGTATGCGAATTTTTGAATCTAGAGACTCTGTGTGTGATTGCCGTGGCGGCACGGCTCAAGTGCTCAAGCACTCAATATAATCATGATCAGCGTAGGAACGAGCAGCCATTTCTGAGAGAACAAATTCTCACACCTGAATTGATGAGATGGCGTTTGTATTCTTCAGCGATAGAAGCTCACCCGTTTCGTTTGTACTTTGCTTTCGACCTCTTGGTCAAACTTTGAGTCTGACAGAACGTTCCGGACTAAAATTACTAATTCCAGCGTCTCTTCGCTATGCGACAAACAACCGACGCAGGCGGCACTTCCCGAATACTACTCTTCGTTGCTACTCATGACTGAACAACACTACAGGCTCAGCGACGCTGGCGATGCATAACAGTCGCGATCGAACTGGGACGTGACAAGCACACCTCGGGATCGCGCAGATGGTTGCATGTCCATTACACATCTCGCAGCCTGATCCTGTTGTTTACACTCCGTCTATTTCTTCCATATCTATATCATTTTGCAGTGATTGATACTCGGGCTGATATATGGAATTCCGCTGACCTACGGTTGGATAGCATATCTCATTGGAAAATGTTTCAAGATGTTTTCAAACGTATTCTTTTGCCTATACGTACAGGAAGTCATGCAATATCTGAACTTTCGAAGATGCGATGAACTGTGAGGAAATGATACAATGGGAGCTTCGAAAGGCCAGGCCATCCGATCAGTCAAGAATTCCACAAATTTTAGGTCTGGACAAGGAGCTTGCCGCCGGGGTCCATGATGGGCGGCGTCAAACCACATGACCTGGATCAGAATTTAATCAGAATTTGATCAAGAAATTCCGTAAGTCCCGTCCTCACCCTCAAACAAATTTTACACTATATCCCCATCCTATTTTTCGTTCCTTAATGCCCCTGCATTAATTGCGGGGACTCCTATCATGAAGAATGCAAAATGATCAGTGCTGCAGGCCATTGACTCACTGTCGACTGCCCTAGACTCACTGTTTTTTGATGTACTATTTCTACCATAGGAATGCTCTGTTTCCGCTTTCTGCGGTATGCACTGCGTGGACTATGGCACGTAGGGCTTGGGATGTGGATCAAGACAGAAGGTGCTACAGGGACCAAGAGGTCCTGATATTGCCTATTTTTGCGTAGGGGGTGGTCATGATACGATGACTGTGTGTGATTATAAGGCGGTGGGGTAGACGGCAAGCGTAGTGACATGAGAATAGCGGAAAATATGGCAGCGTAGGTTCCAAGACTGAAAGTCAAGGGCATGGTGCTATACAGCAGTGGAAGTCGAGAGGGTTAGGTGAGAAGCTAGCGATCCAGGGACGTCGACGGAGAGGCGAAGTGTGAGGACGACGTTGGCAGCTGGAAGGTGTTGAAATGTAGCACAATAAGAGCACTTACTATATAACGATTTTAGCAAACCAATTGCCGAGATATATAGGTCGCTTTGCCTATATTGGCATAGCTGATGCCGATGACAACATTTCGAAGTCCTGTAGGGCCAGTACGTGTAACAGAATCAGATGTCTCCCTATTACCTCAAAATTACCGTCACATGTCACCTGAGCGCATATACAGTGGTCGAATTACCACAGTGGAGCCAGTAGCGGATTTTGAACGTTCTGATACACCAAACAGGTAAATCTGAACATTTGAATCCGCATCTCCAGTGTATACGTGCAGGGAAATCGACACCTCCACAGAGATAACGTATCACCGACGAAGACGCGCGATCATTGTACACCTTGAAATTTGAGAAGTGCGCTCGGAGCGTCGGTACGATAAAAACACGGTGACCTTGCAGAACGCGAGTCTGTCTTGATCTCAAGGAAGCATAGTCATCCCGGAACATATATTCGATTCCCAGTCACCGTAAGGAAATCACATCACACTTGAGAAGGGCATAATTTCCAAGATCAATCCGAGCCCAGCCATGTTACCAAATAAACGAGACTCGGCTTGACTATTGTCAACGACAGGCAGGCAGTCACCGAGAGTAAGGTCTTTAAGGGAGGATTCTACATGCATGAGAAATCGACTCCCTAACTTCATCGATGCCAAAAGGAATTCCCTTGGACGGACATGAGGTGACGATGGGAGGCAGGCATGTTGGGGCAACGCGAAAGATATCTTGCTCGATCTGATTGATTTGAGCGCGACCATTTGTTTTCAGTGCGTCGGCCCTAGTTATGATTGCTTGAAGTGTCCAGCAGATACCATCGTGCGACTGGATTTGAGCATTCAACGAAGAAAGCATTGCCTCGTCTGTAGTAGTCATACCATGGGCAGCGGATATCAAGATAAAGACGCGGCATAACCTGTGACACGGTGTCAAATGCAAATAAAATGGCATGGGAAACTTACTGTTTCCGAGTTTCTAGATAATGGTTGAACAGGTCACCCCACTCGGGTCGGCCTCTGGCACCATATCCCGGAGAGTCGACGACGACCAAACGACCAGGGGGAGATCCAACGCGAAAAAAGTTGAGTGTCTGCGTTCGGCCCTGCGCAAAATTAGTATGTAGTAGAATACAGCACCAGGTCCATAACGACTCACAGCTTTTTTGCTAGTGAAAAGAAGATCTCTACGCCCAATCACAGAATTAAGCAAGGATGATTTTCCAACATTTGCTCGACCTGTTACAACTACCTTCACAAGTCTGCATCATGCGGAGTACTCGGCATCTGAGCGACTTACCTCAGGAAGCCCACCTAGCAAAGAAAGAGATTCTTTATCACCAACAGCAGCGAGAAATTCTGCGGACTTCGCATCCTTGAAAATAACATTGGCTCTGGACGATATACATCTTGCACTGCTACCAGTCTGTAGCGTAGGAAGCACATGACATGATCTGAAAATCGCAGCTACATTAGGTGTGGATGCGAGCATGGAGAAGAAAGAAATTGGGTGCTGTTGTGGTTTATTGAAATCACAAGCTAGGCTCTAACAAATATACACAAATGCCATCAACGCCTTGGAGTTGTAGTACATGCCTTCTTGAAGTCCGACATCTGGCATAATCGTCATGGACCCACTCGCCGGAATGGACGATTCTACAACGGACGACGATAATGCTTCTCAAACAACTGAGGACGACCCTCAAGTACCAGACAATCATCCTCCCGCACCACAACCTCCCCAGCCTGCACCCCAGCCAGTCCCTCAAGCGCTTCCACCGGCAACATCAGGCATGCGAAACAGGCCAAATTATGAACTTCGTCATACATTACGAGGACATACGCAATCTATATCTGCCGTCAAATTCAGTCCTGATGGAACGCTCCTTGCATCTTGCGGTTCGTATACAGCTCGCTAGGACCGGTTGTATTTGAAATACGTTTTGTTTGTGTAGCCGCAGATAGTCTGGTAAAGATATGGTCCCCGTTCACAGGAGAGTTGATCAGAAACTTGAGTGGCCATACCAAAGGACTCTCGGATATCGCGTGGTCGACAGATGGTGTCTATCTCGCGTCAGCATCTGATGATACCAGTGTACGTATATGGAACGTTGATTCTGTAAGTCATCGATGATAGAATTATCCTCCGGTCGACTCATAACGCAAGCCAGGGATTAACGACAAAACATCTCAAAGGGCACTCCAGTTTCGTGTTTTGTGTAAATTACAACACAGCGTCCAACCTCCTGGTTTCTGGAGGTTGCGATGGTGATGTTCGAATATGGAATGTCGCAAGAGGTGCGCAAATGTTGCTTACATTCCGCTGTTCAGTCTTTCACACCAAGCCAAGGAAAATGCATGAAGACTTTACATGCCCATCTTGACTATGTTACTGCCGTGCACTTCAACAGAGACGCCACCCTGATAGTCTCTTGTGCTCTTGATGGGCTAATGTGAGCGCAACATATTACTTCTTTATTTGTCTGACGCAACCACAGCCGGATATGGAACACCACAAGCGGTCAATGCTTGAAAACTCTCGCTGAAGGACACGATGCTGTATGGTATGTCCGTCAGCTGCGACTACTAATCTCATTCCTTAATCTCTTATGGATCTTTAGCCAACACGTGCAATTCTCGCCCAACTCCAAGTACATTCTCTCAACTGCTCATGACAGTGCGATCAGATTATGGGACTATCACACGTCGCGCTGCTTGAAAACATATATGGGCCATCGCAACGAGAAGTTCTGTATAGCGGCCTGTTTCAGTGTTACTGGGGGGAAATGGATTGTTTCAGGAAGCGAAGACCAAAAGGTTTATATTTGGGATCTTCAAAGTCGTGAGGTGGTGCAAATTCTTGAAGGACATGAAGGTGAGAATCATATTTCCTTTCCGAGTTCGACAACTTAATTGGGTCCAGGTGTTGTCGTCGCTGTGGCTACTCACCCACAGCAAAACATGATTGCGTCTGGCTCCATCGAGCCAGATCTCACAGTTCGCATATGGTCTGATCGTGGGTCGACATGCTGATCGACGGTGACAGATGTGCATTTGTGTGTGGTCTTGTATGCCTAGTTCTAGTATCGGTTTATTTGTCGTGTACACTATCCTACACTTGATATATAACTCGCAAATGCATGGAAAGCCGAACAATAGCATAAACGTGTGAAAGTTACAACACCGTTTACTTGACAGGTTCAGCATTAAGAAGATCTGGGTTTGATTAAACGTGATCAGAAGTTAGGCATACAAACGAAAACCGATATCTTACCCTTTGCCATCTCCTTGTCTGCTTCAGTAAGTCCTGAATCATGGGCTTCCAAAAAGGCATCCACCTGCGTACGGTATGAGCATCATCGAATATACTTGCATGAAGAAAAACCACTCGCCTCGTCCAGAACTCGATCATCATCTTCGCCATGAACCATGTCTAAATCACTATCATCGTCATCGTCGCCTGCATCGTCGATAGCAAACGGCGTGCGCTCCATGAATGCCGCGTTGACCGCTTTGAGATGGGGCATCGGAGAAAACACCGAGCCAGACAACGGACCACCGTCGTGGATGGATGACGTATCGAGAGTTGAAGGTGAGCTCGATACTACCACAGTATCCAAAGAACTTCCCGAGGAGGTGGTCTTTGTCTGTGGAGAAATGAGCGACTCCCGGGCTGTCGGTTCTTCAAGTTTTGTGAATCGTCCGATTGTAGGACGATAGATAACCTGCAAGCCGAAAGTTAACTTTGTCCCGTAATAATCATACCAACTGCCATACCTGATGCTTGCCTATGGTCTTGCCAAGCTCGTCACTCAATCTGTTGAACATCTTCCTGTTGTCCTGGGTAGCGATGTTAGACCACAGATCGCCCAAGAAGCCACTTGATGCCGGAGGTAACTCAAGGTCAGGAACGGGCTCCAGCCTGAACGAGGCGGAAAGATCAGTCTCGAAGAACGACTCCAAGACCTCGTCAGCTAGAACGACCATCCGGAACCTGTCAAGTGTAAGATTGATTGTATGTGGTCATACGGGGTCGCGCACGTAGCAAGGTTGAGGTATGGCTGGTTGTGCCCGATCTCTCGAGGTTCTGCTGCTCCGGTCTTGCTATCGGTGTGCTGTGGCAGAAGACTATCTCCATACTCGAAGGCGTTGGTCATAAATTTGCTGACAGCTCCTAGGTAGGCATCGCCGATCTCATGACGGAAAATGAACTATGGCTAGTCAGCCTTGAACGTCAGCAGAAGCGGATAGACTGACAAGAAATGACTCGGAGAGGGTCAGGACTTCATCCTTGGTTAAATACCCATCTTTATTCTTGTCGTGCAGATTAAAGAACCATTCGATGTTCTCCATCAAATCATTGAACATTACACCATCTAGACCAGATACGAGATCCTGGGGGCATTTGTGAGCATTAAACTCTTTGCTTCATCAAGAAACATGCCTGGAACGACAAAGAGCCTTTGCACGAGGTGTCCCAAAAATAAAAGAGACGGTCGATGAGCTCATGTTCTGCAACCTCGCGGTCAATGCGTTGCTTTATTCGTGTCAATGTCAGCAATCGAGACATAAGACATACAGATCGTAAAACTACCTGGAAACCATTGATTACAATCTTCTCGCTCCGTGCCCAGGTCAAAATTTCACTGAGGAAAACGTGGAAAGTCGGTATACCAATCCTAGTCTCTGCTTTCTCTTGGTTTCCATCAGCCGTGGTCAAGAGCGATGGCGGTGGAGCAGCAGCCGGTGGTGGTGGAACTTCACACATGGCTTTGTACAAAGCATCGTATATGAACCCAGCTTGCTCTTTCGTGAATCTTGCGAGTGTCTTCAGGTTTCTCACCGCCGAGCGCTTAGAGAAGGATTCGATACTGTTGACGATTTCGTTTCTATACTTTCTACGTTCGGAGAGAATCGTCTCATCAGAAATCACAGCGAACTCTCGGAACGAGATAAGAAGTAGTTCTTGGAAGCGTGTGATCGCCCTTGTTCGAGGGTCTGCAGACTCTGGATGCGCAGAGTCACCAAGCGAGGCGAAGTATTCGCGCATCAAGCTAGTCGTAGTGAGCATAAGCCGTCAAAGGTTGAATCAACCCACTTTAAGAAGCCTCCATCGTCTTGTATTTGCAATAGCTTTTCACCATTAATCTTGAGAATGGCTTTTCTCTACAAGTTAGGTGGGTATATTTAATTGCAAGCGAGGTGCACTGACCTAATCTGACAAGTTTGTGAGTTACAAAAAAACAGGAAATGACAAAGAAAACTCACCCTACTTGGAAGAGCACTTTCGGACCCATGCAGAAGAAGCAGTCTGCAATGCGAAAGGCAAAAACCATAGGCATACTATTGATGTACCTGGGAAGAGCGAGTCATGTCCGGCGTAGAGCATAAATTGTCATGAACACCAACAAACTCAAGAACCATGGCAAAGAAGCGACCGAGAGCTGTACATCAACCGCCTGAAAGTGATCGCTTATCATTGGCAAGCACCGTGTCACAAGAGATTCAAAAACTCGTTGATCCAGGAGTGTTCCATGCATAGTTGGGCTAGATGTATTTAGTGATAGCAACAGCATATCGTTGGGCAGGACATACCTGTAGTAGCCAGGCAGAAGTCTATCGCACAGAACTTCGAGAAGCCAGAATGCTTGCTCTTCTGACATGTAGCTTCGCGAATATTAGATATATACGTTCCGTGAAAGTCGAACACTTACATTAGAATCGCAGCTGCCAATATATTCATCGCCTAAACATGAATCAGACTCAATGAATGGTAAAACATGATACAAGCGTACTTGACAATAGCCGACTTCTGGGTTCCTGTGCGAGTAGGCTTGTAGTACTCTACGGAGAGCGCTGATGCCCTCGTCAGCTTGGTAGCCTGCATATTCCGGAAGACTCCTATGCAAATCCTTCTCAATATCCTCAAAACTTGTGCTGTTCGTCCCCCGAATGTCCAACAGTAATTGATCGTACAATCCAGGATTGGAGAAACGAAGATATATAGATCCAGACAAAGTCTCCCACATCTCACCACGAAGACGATTAGGGAGGCCGACCTGAACCAATCGAGTACACTGTGGGTATCTTAGTAATGTAAGATTGCGGCCGTGATCTACATCATGGTCAATCGTTTCAAATGAAACATAAGTATAAGGCGTACTCTTTAAATACGTCGTCCATAGCTTGATTTTTGAAGCCTCGCGTAACCTGAAACACGTTAGTGCAAGGCATATAGCGCGTATAAAAAGATCAACTTTTTTGGGTCACCAGGGAACTTAAATTGCAACCCTAAACCACCATGAAATTCTGTTTCTGGAGGCGGACATCCTTCTTTTGTCTCTGTGATAAGACTTCCGTCCTCCCGCTCGTTGTCTGAGATGCCCGATAGCGATACAAGCCCCTCAGAGTAGCAAGTTTTCACAAAGCCTTTCACAGCTTTCATCTGACCACGCTGCAGCTCCGCTTTGAGTGCTTCCCGCAAGAGACTGCAAAATAGGTCGGCGGTGGGTCGAAGGGAAGTTAACTGCACAATCTAAACAGGTGTTAATGAAGGCATCAGATGGTATCGATGTCACTTACTATCTTCATGCCGTGCCAAGTGGAAAGACTCAAGGCGTAAACTCCAGCACGCGCATTAAGACGTTCGACGCGTCGTACTGTGGAGAGGGGCAATGTAAACTTGACTGACTTGCGATCCAGGGAGGAAAATGCGAGATATGGTGGAAGCAAGTGTAGCTTTCCTGCCTGAGTGAAATCGAACGATGAGATATCGTACGTAGATGGGAACATGCCACTTACATACGAGTCCTCCACTTCTTGTGCACCAAAGCTGAGAATGGCGTTGATCTCCATATTCTCTATATCTCCAGAACCACGTTTCTCCGTGTCCTTGGGAGGCACAGGAGGCACCTCCGGTATTGAGAAGAAAACATGAGTCAACTGATCCTTAGTAGGTTCCTTGAAGTTGCGCAGCTGAGTAGATATTGTCGACATAACGGACACTGCCAATGCTTGAGCACGCTCTTGGAATTGCTTTCGATGAAATCAGGAGCACAGTGCCCAACGTGGGCTACTTGGACGGCGCAAGAAAGAAAAGATGAGTCCGACAGTATGAAAGCTCCGCTTCGTTAGATGAACTGTGCTACTAACTCGGGTTGTGGTGGCGATGTTATAAGTCCCTCACGTTGCAATTGCAGTGCAATTACAAATAGAGCCAGCTCACTCTCCTTTAGCGCTTGCCAATGTCCTGCTCATCTACAGTAGCGTTCAGAATTTATAAGTCATATAATTCCATGCTGCTGCGCAATACAACACTATTCTTCTGTTCACATCGTTGGCTCTAGCTCGCTGTAATATTACTTCAACGCGGTTGAAGCCGTATCTCCTAATCCACAAGAACCCGAGAGGATATATTAATTACAACAAATTACAGCATCGCAAGCAACAGAAGACGAAAGTGGCTCATGTCAGAAAACTGACATGCACTGGCCCGGGTACTACATACTAATAACGCACAATATTACCTCCATGTCCATGCTCTCTCGATCGGTTCGAGCATCGATACAGGTCCATTGCTCGTGGTCTCCTTGCTAAGATAGGGTACATCAGTGGACAGGACAAACTGTAGCCATGTTCCACCACTCTCACCGAGTCGGTGTGTTGCGTCACCTTCTCCGCAAACTCGGAGACAAAATTTCAGAGTGGGGAACTCTCGAGGAGTCAGGACTAGGCTATTTGCCAAAGGATGGTCCCAAGGAAGAATTGACACACGAGGCGTGTTTTGTGGATTTTCCGCCTCCTCACCAACTCATCTTGCATATACTCCTTGTTTTGCTACTGAACGGTCATTCAGACAGTGATCCCTACCAAAGATCAATTCTGTACGCAAGACACAGCATACGATTTTTTCCTGAGAATGAATGATGTGCGTGAAACAGTGCATCCCTTGTATCTCATCCACATCATTTGTCGCAGCATATCTCCCAACAAATCCTGGCTACACCTGCCGGAACCTCAAGAGGCTCAGGCTTGCTATTGCGACTACTCCTCGTTCAACTATACCGGCGCATACAGCCATATTTTTTACTGCTCCCATCACATTCAAAGCCCATAATTATTGATGAGGCGACATGCTCACACATATCATATATCACCGCCCAGTGTTGCCGAGCTTCCTCTGCGAAGACTAAAGGGGTGAGCCCGATTCATTAATCACTGTTCCCTTTATGTTTCATGTGTAAATCTTCCAGCGCAACGTTGCAGTTGGTGATCCTGGCCTAGAAAAAGACTTGGTGCCTGATGAATATTTCGATCAGGACCCTGAGTTACAACAGTAGTCCACTTCCATAGCAGAGGCTATTAACTCGGCAGAACATGGAAGTAGCCTGTTGTGTTCTTGCTAGATTCAAATGAATTCCTTTGAGCTAGCAAATGCACTTGGCCATTCGTTACGTCCTCATTCAGAGCCGTAGCAGTCACCTCGAAAATGCAGTACACATATACAGTGTCTGTAATGTTTGCACATGAATGGAATTGTCAGCTCAAATAACGGAACATATAGACCAGGGGTTTTGAGTCTGGAGGGTAGAAGGCCAGTCTCATTTGTACGCCGATACTTTCCCCTCATTTTCATGCAGGAATTTGAGCGTAAAAGAATGCAGTTTTGTTGATGACACGCTGCACATGTTACCGACTTCTACATTTCTACATTTCTACATAAAACACAATACAGGTATCATATTACATCTTTAAGAGCCGACTGCATGTGGATAGTACAAACGGGCGACACTGATCAAGATTGAAATAAGCAGGATGACTGCGAGACGATGTTTAGTCTGTTTTGTGCATCCGAAAAATCCAATCATGCATGAAGACTCCGTCAAACTTGCAAGCGCTGGAAAACTTTGCATCATAGAGACAAGATATGTGACGCAATACGTTGAAGCCGAAATACGAACCCTCTCATGAAACTATACACATAGGGACGGTGTGGTAATTGGGGTGATTCTAAACAAATACTCTTTTAGGGTTCAGCCACGGACTGGAACCTGAAGGCACAGTGAATCGCGGTACACGCATCTCAGACAGAGCATTTACCCCGAAACGGTGAAGTCAGTCGTCAGCGGAGGCACTTTAGCCGATGAGGAGTTGTCACTGTTCCCAACGAATGAGACTGGTGACACATTTAGATGGAGAGAAAAAAGAAAAAACCTTTCACAATCGGGCGAAGGACGGAGGAGCGAGAGGACCACTTGGCTAGATGCAATCGTACTGCAAACGAAAGTACTAGGTCATATGCCTAAACCGGAAGTCATGACGAGAGTCCTAACCAGACGCATGCCGCTTTCAAAAGGTCAGCGACATAGACTGAGCCAAACAAGCCATGGACACATACCAGGCATTGAGAACATAGAATTCATAACAGCTGATGATATAGAGTGAGTGGGCGTTTGCAATGCAGTGAAATAGTCTTACAATTCAGGTTCAGACGATTCAGGATCTACAAAGTTTGGTCTGCGACGGCCCTGTAGAGTAATAAGGAACACACCAGTAGGATCACGTTTGCTAACACATTGAGGAAGAAGTATATCACCCCTTGTTTCACGAGCTTCTTCCATAGCGTAGAAGACGGCGATGGCATCCTGAAAAGTCCAATAACGCTAAAGACCACAAGTGCCAAATCATACAACATGGCTATACCCGAGGTATTGATTATCACATATCCATTGATCATAAATGTGATATACGTACTATATATGACCACCGCACTAGCATATGCAGGGTTGGTAAAATGGATCATGCACAACCCGTTTGTGGTAGATGCACGAGTAGACACAACGACTGTAAAATTGTTGGACATATCACACTTAGAGGGCAGCAAATACGCACAGAGAGTGAGAATTGTCCAATAACCTAGTGATGTGAGGACTAGGAAGAGGCGCAGCAGGTAACTGGTTTTCCAGATAAGCCACCTACATATATATACCATGAGATCGAGCATGATGAGAGCGATAATCAAGGATTTACGTTCTGATCATCAGATTTGTCGCAGAGCAACCGATGGCAACGTTTGTCACAAGCTAGGTAATATGATGGTAAATGAGCAACCTCGAGGGTGCTCCCGTACTCACCATGATGATGGAATTCATGCCTCAAACGAGGTAAGCCTCTTCAACAAAGATTAAAATATACAAAACACTCACTCTGACAATCAACGCTTGTGTGAAAGGGACTATATTGCATCGCACTGATAAAGGCCGTTAGTATGCTTGTCACTTCCTCTACGTTGGCTCACAGTAAAACTGTCACAATCAAGAAGCTGAGCCTGGCGGTGATATACGAGAGCTGGGCATGTGTAAGTGGCAAGCTTCTACCGTTTCCTTGAGAATACGCACCAAAGGCCATCGAAATGGAAGCTGCCTCCGAAGCAGTGCTATCTCCACGTGTGAAGAGCGTATATATTCCCAACTACAGACGCGGACGCAGGCTAACTGGTATCACATTTAAGACATTACAACGTGCAGCACTCACCCATATAAGCCAAAGATGGCATAAAACAACTGTACTGAAAGTGTCCCCAATTTTGCTTCGAGGTCAGGATCGTTCCAGTTCACCATAGCAAGAATTGGGTAGAAATGGTAGATATATGTTGAGGGTGTTGTAGGAATGACACCCTGTTGACTGGAAATTTCCGGCTTATTAGGACAAGATGGAGAGTAGGTACACACATACAAGTCTCCCACATCAACCATTTCAACCCTGTAGAGCATCTGCGGTAGCCAATCGCATGATACAAGCACTCAAGATACCCATGACCCTTCATTCACCTTGGTCTTGGCGCCATTAGATCACCACAATAAATCCGTATCAGTTGAAGGTCAAAGATGAACGATACGGTCACACCTAGAATTGCCTCCGTAAGTGCCAGAGACCATGTATTCGTAGAAGTAGGGTCTGCGACTAGAAGAGCATCTTGATGGCTTGAGCGTCAAAGGCAGGGTCAAAGCATCACGAGTTTGTTAAATTGTCAGGTAAATCTTTTCTTGCTTCAAGGCAGGGGTTGCATCCATTCTCAATGATGTAGGGATGGAATGGCATTTACATAGGTATGTCATGACGTTGACTTGACGTTTTACCCAGGGTATACCGGATTGGCGCACCTCAATAACTCATTCGCTTAGTAAATTGACGACAATTCAATTAACGACATATAGGTTGATCATTTTCACCTACCAGGTACCTGATGCCATAGGCAACCTACTCAAGCTCTGATGCCTTTTTTCCTAGATGTGGCTATCAACGTGGCTGTCACTTTCGTTCTCATTCGTAACAGTAGCCGAAACCCACCTTAAGATTGACCCTTCAGCTCGCGTCCACAATCATTGACCAGGAGACATGGTCTTGCAGCCTTCTTAAACATGAGTCTCTGTACATCAAGGCGCAATGAATTTCCGCTCCGGGTTGGATTGGTATGAATCAGACAGTACGCAAACTTCCACTCAAGCAGCACCTGAGCGAGTCTTGCGTGACGCATTGGGAAAGGGCCAGGACACCCGTCGCAAATACTAACTTTATTTCTGAACGTTGAGCTTTAACGTTTGATGGTTTGTATCAGTTAACGGTCATAGTGGAATTTGACCCTAATTGTCATTCGGAGTAAATAATGTTAACTGACCACCAACCCTGGACGCCTCGAGTTCATGTGTCGGAAAACATGGCACATGATAAAGAACCAGCTGGATGGTGGATGGTAGGTGATTTGCTGATTTGCCGCGACATATTTCAAAGTCTGATTGATTGCGTGATCTGAGTCCCCAAATATAAAAATTCAAAATTGTAGCCGTGGGAACTATGAGAGGGCTCGTATTGTGAATTGTGTTGCATGAACGAATTGGAGAACGACGACCGACGTGTGTGTTGACGAAAACACGATCGACGACACGTGCAATGTAATGCAAGATGCGATGCACAGACGATGGTGTCATTACACTATTCTGACCGTTTTGGCCATATCCAGTTTTCACTGAGGAATCAGCAGCTTGGTTCTTTCTTGAGAACTAGTCCAGTGTGCACAACCTTGTAGGAAATGATCTGTCCAGGATTCTGGTAAGGTGTCGACCCCTACAGCTACTACTAGTAGTACTGCCCTGGTGGTTGTGGAGAAGGAGCTTTGGGAAGAGTCACGTCAGCCCAATTTGTCATCCGGGGAAACTTCAATTGGTCGCTCCCGTCCTCATCAAGCTCACTGTCGACACCATGCCCACGCCCACTCATCCTTTCCGAAATACAGAAAGCCTTCTTGTCGTCATTCCGGACGATAGAATCGATGTCGAAGCAGAAGCACAATTGTACGACGAGTTGTGTGACGTTCGTTTCTCTACTTTGCCGTACAAAATACTTAACTGACCCTGTCCAGGATCAAATATCCATTCGCCCATCCACCCGGCCCAAATCTCCCCAGGAACCACCCTCTATTTTCTCTCGCGACATCTGGCTGAACGACAACTCTGGCACGAGTCTTGCTTTTGCCCGAAACGTACATATTGCGGGGTGGACGAGCGTGGGTGATAAGCTGGGTGGGGCTTATGTTGTGTATGATTGTGTGATTCGCACAAAAGAGGTTCGCAATACCTTCTATGTTGTGGCTCAGCTTGGAGGTGACCGTAAATAGGATACTACTATCCACGCACATAAGCGGTATAGTGATTTCGTACTGTTGTGCGATGCTTTGAAACATTCATTACCTGTGCGTCCACCTCTTGTTCTATTTCAATAAAGTCTCAGTACTCAGTAACCCCGTCAGAAACATCAACACCATTTCATCCCAGCCCTTCCCCCGAAATATCCCCTCTCGCGCTACCGAGCAGCTTTCCTTGATCGTCGCCGGAGACAACTACAGTACTGGCTCTCTGCGGTTCTCCTACACCCCGAGATTGGTGCATGCCAGGCTGTAAGATGGTGGGTTATGGATTAGGCATCCATTACGCATAGTAGCACGCGGAGTGCCACACTGCCAAGTATGAGCTGTGACGGTGTGGATAATGACTTTTTTTCTTTATTGCTGTGTATTCCGGATACTACCCTACTTACGACTTACTCTGCCCATGATATATTCATCAGACTAAACACGCTCTACAGCGTTCGTCTCCGATACACATGGTCCGTCCCAAGTGTTCGTTCACCAGAAGCAAGACAGCATGCGGATATGTGCTGCAGCTCGTACTCTTTTCTGCCCAATTGCAAACTCCGTAAATTTTGATGGATGATACAATACTAGTTCCCTTTTTTCTACCACCGGGTCAATATGCTACTGGTCAACTCGTCACCCAGGGGTCGCCAGCACTTGCATACCGGTATTGAGTCAGTTTCTCGATATCCGAAGTATTGGATCCATTCGATCCTAATATTGTTCGAAATCTGCTCTGACTATCATAAAACCAGTAGAGCTCGTTGAGTCATCTTGAAAGCTGGGGGGACGCAGGTTGGACCCATGCTTAGGTACTTATGATAAGAGCTTCGTGTCTCGGGCGTTTGTGAAACATGGGAAAATGCCCATGTGCACCTCTGCAGCTCCACTCACTATCCTTTTCCTTCTTTGTCCACCTCGACCTCCAGTAAAATGCATTTCATTTCGAACGGGTACCTCACCCGTTCGAGCGTCAAATATCATAGGGGAGCGGTACTCTCAGTCGCAGTATTCCCTGATAGGCGACGGCATCAGTCACAGGCTCGTACAACAAGATTCTTCGTCTGCATGACTTCGAGATAGGCGCAGTCTTTGAAGAACATCGCAGTGGGGTGCGGAGCGGGAGATCATCACCTGGCACGGAGAAACTGTACTCGCTCGCTGAAGCCATGTAAGCCCACTTCGCTCATTAAAATTTCTGCAGGATGAGATGGAGTTTTATCACTTGTTCATTGGATCGACGTACGAAGCTGTGGAATAAGGAGACATGGCTGACGCCACTACGCTCGATTGGTTTTCCGTGGTAAGGAAATCCAATACTGCAGTGTAGTAGTGATGGCCGCTGCGTTGAAGTGCGTTCGATATTCGTTATCCGGCGAGTGTCTTGCGATTGCAGCAGAGTCCAGACAGTAATATCTAATTGATAACCCAAGCCTGATCTATGCACCAGAGAATGCGCCGGGTTACTACACTAGTTTACACTGCTCGCCACTGCATACGAATAGTCGTGGACACCCCATTGCACAAGAACTTTGTAACTAGGTGCTTTCAGGATGTAGTTTGGCAACAGCCCCAAATCCAAACAACCGGATGTATTACTCAACACAGCCGGCCCAAGGCACATGTTGACTCTGTTGAGAGCCGAAGAACCCGAGGACGGAAAGGCCGATAGAGGAGGATATGGGACTACGGCCGAAGAGTAAGGCAGCTCGAGGTGCGAGCGCCACCAAACGGAGATTCCAGACGACGTGTCAACGTCGGCTATCTTTTTTCATTCCTTTAGTATATGTTTTCATCAAAAGGCCAGCTGGCGCACTCACCATATAAAAGCAGCCATCCACCATCGAAACATCTCAGATTCGTAATCCGAATACTGAGATGTAAGTCTTCTAAAATGTAACGTTTGAGTACAAGTACTAACGTATACCGTAGCTTACCTGTCTAGGTAAAAACACTTGTCAATAAACAGATTCGTAATCCGAATACTGAGATCTTACCTGTCTAGCCTCGCGTGAACGCCCTGCTATACTCTCAATAGGTTATGAGCCCTGCCCCGGTCATGGACACAACGCTCCCCGCTACCAGTTCGAGCCTGTTCAACGTTCCCAAGTTAGCCGAAGACGGCACAAACTGGATAACATACAAAGAACGTACGTTAACGGCCATTGGAGCAAGAGGTTTGATGCGTTATGTGGACGGCCGGGCAGTACGACCTATCCCGTTCCTAGTCGATCCCAAGACTGGAGCCGTAACGAAGAAGGACGGCACCGTCCCTACCCAGACCGAGATCGATGACCTGGATAAGAAACTGGATGATTATTACCAGCGAAATTCGCTGGTAAAACAACAAGTGTTCAGCAGCATAACTGATCGTCTGCTGCTGCAGGTACAGAAGCTGGAGGCTGCATCCGAAGTCTGGAAGGAGGTCTGTCAAATACACGAAGGCAAAACTGAATTAGTACAAATCGACCTCCGTCGTCGACTTCAGGAGACGCGATGCGAAGAAAACGGCGACGTACGTGCACATTTCAGCGAGATGCTGCGCATCCGCGAGTCCCTTGCGGGAATGGGCGCCTCCATCGAAGAAAAAGACTTCTACGCTATAATATTGGGGTCGCTCCCAGAATCGTACCGTCCCATCCTGTCGTCGATCAATGCGGCGGCCAAGATCACCAAAAAGGTCCTAAGTACATACGAACTTGTCAACGTCATCACCGAGGAATACAAGCATCGTTTGCTTACCGACAGACGCCTGTCTAAACGTGGCACTAACTCTGCCCTCTCCGCGCGCGCCAACGACGCGAAGTCCAAAACCACGGATGGCGCTGCGCCCCACTACAACCCAGATGCGCTCTGTCAGAACTGTGACCGAAAGGGGCACTACAAGAGTGAGTGCTGGAGGAAAGGGGGAGGGAAGGAGGGTCAAGGTCCCAAGCAGAAGGCTAGAAGGGGAGGACGCACCCAAAAGCAGAGTGCTAACGCGGCTGCGGCCAAAGAGCCCGAAGCCCAAGACAATTACGCTTTTGCAACATCAGACCTTGCGAGCGTAGCAGAAGCTATGCACTTACCTGCTGCGCGCCGTGGAGCTATAGTCGACTCCGGCGCGACATCCCACTTCTGTCCGGACAGGTCCAAATTCGAGACTTTCGTCGAAATACCCCCCCAAAAGGTCTATACTGCAAACGGTTCCAACGTTAGCGCCACAGGTCGCGGAGATGTGAGAATCGACTTACCTTTGGGCTCCAAAAGGACCACTGTGACCTTGAAGGACACCCTATACGCCCCCGGTATGGCGTTCACCCTCATATCCACAAATCGTATCGCATCCGCCGGTCTAGCAGTCCTTTTTGAAGGACGCATGTGCAAGATTCTCTCGCGAGGTCCCCGAAGGGACATTATCGCGGAGATCCCACAGGTAGAAGGGCTGTACTCTGTTGGGACGAAGGGGAGTCAGGGTCACCACGTGTCACAACCCCTTAAACGAATTAACGCAGGGCAGAGACTAGGACTCAAACAACAAGATAATCACAAAGAGGATAAGGCAGCAGGTACGTCTTGGATTGCTCACTTGGAGATACAAGAGGTTTGAACTAAAGAACTACTGACTACGACGAGCTACCTATATACACATATTGAAACTGAGATCGAAACTGAGTATGAACTAACTAACCAATCAGAATAATTAAAGGTATCGTACGATTCTATATATAACTATGATGTCATAACATGTGCCGCAGCCGCAGTAAGACTCTGGAACATTCCAAGAGTGTCGCGAGGCATGTCATCAACATCTTCGGCATTGTCCGATAGATCACGTGACTCTGGTAATTCTACAATAGACGCAATAATAGGAACTTCTTCAACTGTAAATACATTCTTAGGAACAGGCGCTGTGACTGGGCGCTTAAAGGACTTAGAATTAAGGAACGAATAATGGTTTGTATTTGGAACTCGTGACATTACCCCCTCTCTAGGATGAGCGTCATCGCGAATGAAACTAGGACGGATAAACTTCTTGCGCCATTCCAAAAACTCTTGGGTTTCGAACACCGATTTATTAATTTTGCGGGGATTTAATGCCTTCGGATTTTGCCGGTGAAATTCTTGAACTTTCAACCGTGCATTCTCAAGGTTTTCCTCAGGTTCCCATGTCGCTTCTTCTATCGGATATCCTTCCCACTCTACTAGGTATTGGAGTTTTGATCTGTGCAATCTCGAGTCTAGGACTTTTCGTACTATCCATTCGGAATCGCCTTCTGATAAGATCTCTGGCGGCGGACGATGATGTGGAAGTCTTTGGACTAAGGTCGAGGGGGAATGCGGAGTGAGTAATTCTACGTGGAATACCGGATGAATCTGATATTTTGCTGGAAGGTTCAGGCGGTAATTTACATCACCCGTCTTCTCTAGCACTTCAAACGGACCAAGTCGTCGATCGGAGAGTTTCTTATTTGGTCTTTTCTGACGGATATTTTTGGCATTGAGCCAGACCAGATCTCCTTTCTTGAATTGTGGTGCGTCTTTTACTCCTCTATCGTAGAATCTCTTCATCCGCTCATTCGCCATTCGCAGCATACTTTCTGCGTCTTCCTTCGCCTCTTTCATTACATCCACTCGTTCATCAGCTGCAGGTACTTTAGAATTGGAAATTGGTGAAAAAGTGAACTCTGGATCGTATCCATAGAGTACTTTGAATGGACTATGACCCGTTACAGTGACAGAGTTATTGTGAGCGAATTCTGCTATCGGAAGCCAGTCTACCCAATCATTTTGGCGGTAAGACGTGAACATTCTCAGATATTGCTCTACTTCTTGATTGATTCTCTCTGTTTGCCCGTCTGTCTGAGGATGATAAGCCGTTGACATGTTCCATTTTATGCCTAGGCGTTTCGACACTTGTCCCATAAATTTGGAGACGAATTGTGTTCCTCTGTCCGATATCACCTGTTTCGGAGTTCCATGGTGTTTCCATACGTTATCTAGGAAAAGTTTCGCGATTCCTCGAGCGTCAACTTCCTTTTTCGTAGGCATGATGTGCGTTTGTTTTGTGTATCGATCAACGACAACAAAAATAGAGTCGAACCCTTCGCTTTTAGGCAAATCTACTATCAAATCACAAGTGATTGATTGCCAAGGTCCCGCTGGTATTTCATTTGGTTTAAGCGGACCATGTGGTTGCGTTGGGTGAATCTTCGTTGCTCTGCATCTATCACAGCCATCTACGTAATCGTGGACATACTTCGTCATTGAAGGCCACCAATAATTTCTGGAAATTAACTCTAAGGTTTTGGCACGTCCAGGGTGTCCAGCCGGTGGAGAGTCGTGAAACAACTCCAATATCTCTCGGCGGATCTCCTTA